CGGCGTTTATGCCGACCAAGTGAGGCGTGAACGGGGGGACTGATTGGCTCTTTTGATGGGCTGGGGCCCCAAAGAATACCCCTAGAAACAAAAACACACACTGCCCCCACGTCAAACGGGTCCTTAACCTATCACCAGCAAAAGACACTGACATCAGTCACAGCCAGAAGAGATCGACAGAAAGCCTTCGAAATCCCTCTTTCACTTCCACATGGCTGCCTACGTAAAAAAGCATCATCCAAGCCGCCTGACAAAGCCCAATGAGTGTTCTAACCTCCCCCCGCGGACCACAAAAAAGGCGGCGATACACCGCTCCGCTTTTCCTGTTATTACTTACGGCTTGCTCATCACAGCCTGAAAAAAAAATCGCCGAGCCCCCCCCCTCAATCCATATTGAGAAGGAGAAAAGTAAACTCTGCGGTTTGAGTGGCACTTGAAGACAGTAATCCGACATCAGAACCGCCCTGTCCCGGGTAAGACAACGGATAGGAAGATCTGGAACAAAACGCCCCGCTCTGACGTCCAGACAAAAACTGTCCCGCCGAGCTCCGATGCCTTATACGAGAAGGGAATCACACGGGTCACAGACGGACATAAACCCCAGATCAAGACGGGGGGAAACCATGGGCACTGAACACAACTCGGTCGCGTGTTCATTGCAGCAGAAAAGATGCCATTGTCGGCCGACCCCCAGGTTTTGCTGATAGGGATTAGGAGTTTTCTGTGTCGTCTCTGAAAATTTATATTTTGAACCGAATCTTGAGAAAGGAAATCGCTGCGCGAGGACAGAAAGCATAGGGGGAAAATAGGTATAGTCTTGTGCACGGGGTCGTGGCTCGCGAGACGAGTCTCTAACTGTGGCCTAAAGATTCACGGGGGTTTAGCTCTCTCCATGCAGCCGATGTTGTTCACACGACCCAAACTCAACTCGTCCCACTCAATGTCTCCAACCGCCACTCCACTAAGCTCGCACAACTTCTCTCTTTTTTTTTAATTACGACGGTTGCTTTCAGAAGAATGAATTAGTTTTGTTTTTACTTTCGGTATTTTGGCGAAGAATAATGTAAGAGATCTGGAACATTATTTAATGTACCGCATCGTTTCGATTTTCTGTGAGATTCAAATGTCAACTTGAAACACACATGTCATAAATCTGACGTTTCTTATATGTCTCACTACTGTATGAGTCACACCACCAGTGCATATCACTTTATTCGGTGAAAGAAAGATGTCGTTTAGTATTTTGAAACATTGCTCCACAAACCAACAGTGGCTCGATCTAAGGCCACTATCTAAATTGTGCATAAATTTCTTCCCTGAGGAGTTCCCACAGAGTTGCAGTTTTTGTTTGGTTTCGTTATTACGATGATTCAAGCACGCCATTTCTTTTTTTTTCAAATCAGAGAGAGAAAAAAATGAACGGACATTTTAAACGTGTAAGTAGCCAAACATTCGCTCTGGGGCGATTTGGCACCGCACATTATCCCTATTCTAATTTTCTTTTATTCATCATTGAGCAAATGTACCCGGTACAGTTCATCCCCACAGATACAAGATTGATTTCAATTTGCGACTGAGATTATGCATGTCTGTGGATTCGAACTCGTCTCGAGGATCCAAACAATCCGCGTGGTCTGGTGACACGTCAGCCGAACGATTCCGGGTGTTTTTTTCCCTAGGTGTGATGGTAGCGGCGCTGCATGAATTACACATAACACGTCCATTCTGATATCGCTGAAGAGCTATGGCTCGCGGTCAGGTTCACGCGCGAACTCACTGACATCGCCAAGAAATGTCAGGCTTGATTTTATTAGTAGGTTATGTAATTGCCTGCGATAAGATGTGGCGACATCGGAACACGGAAGCAACATCGTGACGCTGGGTGAGTACCCAGTGAGTCCAAGATGCCGAGTCTGCGCATTACTGAAAGCAACAGTTTCCATTTTTAGCTACCGTCGAAAATGAGCCTTGACATGCACCGAAGTGCTTATTATGTTAGCGAGATGACCTTGAACAAACATACTGGGGAAAATTCACAATGAATATTTAATGTTCATACTCCCATCCTTCGTTTGTTCATTCCGAACCCGAATCCGCATCAGCAGGAGGGCAATGGATGCGCTTAGAAGTTTTATGCCGCTGCTGAGTATGCTGAATGTTAATATCAGTGTGAAGTTTCATCATGGGCTCATTTTTCTCCCCACGATTGCTTCACACGACTCAAATTGCGAGAGCATAAATGAAGTAACTATAATCACAAAGTAAACAGCCAGAGTATTATTCTTATCTGCAAAATGATTACTTCAACAGACACAAGACAAGCTACGAAGAATACTTAATGATATGCAAGTCGTGTGCGCCATGAGACTACGGGTATAGTTCAGTTCTTGAGTTTCCAAGTTAGGCCTACTCTTAGCTAGTTCACCACCTTTTCCAAGTTCGGTTTTCCTCTACGTCATCATAGATAACGGGCAACTGTAATAGGACAGTTCCTTCCTTCACACGGCTACACCTGAATCACGATGCTGAATCCCAAACATTTACCCCTAAAGATCAACTTCGGGCCAGCCCCCCCCCAAAAAGCAGCGAGTTGTCGATGCTGAGCCAAAGGATCATGGCGGCCGGGTTCAGCACGGCGTGACTACGGTCAATGCGCCGGGGAAGGCGCAAGGTTATGACACAACCCAATCCCCGCAGACGACTCGGCGTACATTTAAGCGCCTGAATCTGGAACCAACAGCAGCGGGAATGAAACATGGCCATCGCGTGGCACTTAACAATCAGGTAATGACAAGAAAAAACTTCATATTTTCGCGTGTTTACCATAAAGGCGTTCCAAATCCTTCCTTTGATGATTTCGACAAAGAACAAGGACGAATCCTCAAACTCCATCCAAAAGCACTAGCATGTTGCATTCACTATTAATCATGGGAAAAATCCTGCCTTCCCCATCCGCGCATTTTCGCAAAGAGACACAAAAGTTAAATACAATGGGTAGGTCTACGCAACTAAACAAAATAGTGATTTTTATTTATTTATTATTCTTTAGCTACAAGCCCAACTTTTCTTTTTCGCGTTAAATGCCCCTAATTTCAACCAGTACCTTCATTTTGTAAGCTTCAACGTGAGAACGTGATTGAGTGCACTGAATTACGGAGCCGATAGCGAGTCCACTTTGGGGGTTTCTTGGGGGAGGGAGGGTTGCGGTGTTCGGGAGAGTCATCCCTGACGGTAGTTAGATCGTGCTCAAGGTCAATCCCACCTGCTCATGATGTCTTTGCATGCCAACAAAGTCCGCGCAAACAAGTCTGCAGGAAGGTTGATGACGGTTAATTACAATGCCATCCCACAGAGAACGGTGTCTCTTCCAACATCTAGGGTATCTGGTGCGGGCCACAAATTATTTTATTAATAAATAACCTTACAGACCGACATGATTGCTCTGTTAAGGGCAGTCGATTGGCACGAATGACACTTGAAAGAGGGAAAGAGGATACATTTCCAGGGAAAAAACTCGGTTTAAAGTACAAATTGACCAAGCACAAATTTAAGCCGAATAATTTGGGATTATTATTAGCAGATTGAATACAGACACAATTCACGTCGTTTTCCTTTATTCAGCGTTGACCATGTCTCACAATGACCTCAAAATAATTGTGTTTGTTTAAACTGGCTAAATATTCACGACATTTCGCAGATGTTTGCACCTTGTCCAATGACAAGTTATTAATGTTTTCGGAGAATAATCGTTTGAGCAACGCAAGGCGGCCTTTGCCTGAAAAAATAACCGTGAAATTTCGCATGGCCCGATCTGGGCAGAGAAGGCAAGATAGTTACAACAAATCGCTCGGAATCTCTCTCACCATGTAGCGGGTGAACGGTATACAAGTGGGTACGATCAGCGTCATTGATCTGGAACACTCGACTTGGCTGTGAGTGAAGACTGGCAGTGTAACAAGCGTGGATTGCGATTCCCGATTTTGGCCAAAAAAAGGAACTGGCCCGATACTGGCTGAATCTCTTTTGCAACCTTCCCCTTGAAAAAAAGTTCTTTGCAAATTGACGCTGCTTCACGTCAATGGGACGTTAGGCGGTGCCTTTCTGACAGCAAAGGTTAACGGGAAAATGTTTTTTTTTCAGAGGACTTTCCACATTAATCCAATTTCTTTGCTAATTACCGATTGTGATGTGGTGGAATTGAATCAAACCGACGTTTGTTTCAGCGTCGAGACCGCGGCTTTGATCACCTTTGACGGTGCCGCAGAAAAATAATTCAATTTTCCAACAAAAATATGCCAGTAAAAACGCTCACGTCCATGTATCGGAAACAAAGCCGCGATTAACAAAGGCTGGAATGAAATCGAAATTTACGAGCCGGCCAGATTACCGAAACATCTCAGGACATCTGTTTAAGAGCTTCAGAGCACGCGTGAGGGGGATATAAACACTGCCAAACGAGTTCAATGTGTCGGTTCATGGCCAGCGAGGAGACAGCGGTGCTGCCGTAGATCGCAGCCTAAAGACGGTTGCCTTGCTTGGCTGTCACCGTTCAAATTGGCATCAAAGCCGTCGCGGCGGAGAGGCCGCGGCCCGGTGCATGCTAAGTGCGATCTCGACCTTGCGATCAAGGCTTTACAGACATATTGGAATCGCGTGCAAATAAATTCAGCCTTTTTCTACTTTTCACTTATAGGAACACGCCCGTCTGCGATAAAACCTACATTCCAGGGCAAAAGAAAATGTGGAGACAAGAACACAGAGTTGCCACAGTGTGGCAAGTTTCACGTCTGTGGTGTGTTAGGACACGCTTAGAAAAGCTACGCACCCTCTTCGGGCTCGTAACACGCACAGTTCGCGCCCCCGGCAATGCCTGGTGAAAATACGGTTGAAGACGGTGGGCAGGCAGGCCCATTCGTCGTGTTAAATCAGGCGAAAAGTTTGTCACAACGCAGAACGTTTATGTGCTGAAAATTGAAACAGATAACGAGAGAGGGACTTACCCCAAACAGAGAAGAGGTCATGTCCAGGAGAAACAAATCAACATCGATCACAAGCAGTCTCGAGGATCTTTGAGCCGCGAAGAAGTTTGGATCTTCCTTTGTTGTGGGTCTACGGTGGTAAATAAGTGTCCGCTAGGATAAAGGAAAATGGGCTTATATGGCACTGCTTGGAGCGAGCAGGCTGGAGCTTGGAACAGAGGCGGTGCTGGCGTGGTGCATGCACGGTTGAGACAGCGTCTTAGCGTACGGTGAAACCAGCAGTGCACCCTCATTTGAGCGGCAGGCGAGAGGGCCTTGTGCACAGTAACGGCAGACAGACGAACGGACGGTACGGAGGTGCAAAGCCCGGAACAAGCCCTGCGGACCCAGGAGGCAGCCTACCGTGACGGCAAGAGTCAGTGGACGGTGCACCCTTTACCGCCTACCTTGGCTCACCTACAGCCCAAGAAAGCAGTCAGGTCCTGCTAGAATAATTCACCGGGTGATTGCTAGGAGCGGAGACATTGGAATGACTAGCTCCTCCCACCAGTGCGTATAATTACAGCCCTTTGTGCTTTGAAGCGCCGCTCCCCCGCAGATCTATCAACGGGCTCGCCACCCTCCGGTAGACCGGGCAAAAAAAAGCCCTCCCTGACAAGTAGCAGGACGTGTTGCCAAAGCGAGGCAATAAAGACACCCTCTCAATAAATATAGGTCCGGCGAATAATATCTCGACATTTTTATTGCATCGGGCAACTGCAGCTCAAAAAGCACGGAATTCGCACCCGCTGCAAAACCTCGAGGCATGGCATAAGAAATGAAACGTGTCAGATTTCCTCATAAGTCAAAAATATGCCAGGCTTTTTTGTAACAGTAAAATCTATGGGGCTGGTTTATCGCAATTTGCCAGAAAACTCGTAATGCCCAGTAAACTGAAAGTTTCCACACCACCACTGTCAGCTCAGAGTTAAGAACATTCGCTCGCACGAGAGGGCGGGCTTCAACAATTGCGTGTGCATGTGTGTGTGGGGGGAACATTGGGACCACCGCATAGGTCAACAGTCGGCAACAACGTTTACGATGTCTGCGCAAGCGCTGCGCGTCTCCACCATTTTTAATATCTTAAGCAACATTTTACGCGAGAAAGGGAAAATCATAACAAGCCATTGTAATCCTCACTGGCACATTTTCTGTCTATGAAAAGTGCTTGATTCGATTTCAGAATCGTTGAATGCAATCTTTGAGTGTAAATTATCGAACTGCAGTGACTAAATCTGTGTTTACTGACCCCCAATCCAACGGACTATTTCATTTCATTGCTTTGTTTTTTGGGGGTAAAAAATTCGTACGTCACAGCTGACCCCACGCAAAAAGCTTAATCACCACAACTTACTTTGCGAATGTCTTCCGCGTGATGCCTGCACTGACCACAGATCTATACACAGATTCTTTGATTGTGGTCATATAATGCACCATTTCTGAAAATAATTATAACTCATTTCATGCCGATATGACTTCGGTACCACAAAATACTGGTAGTGCTTTGTTATTCCGGGTGTGGGTAGGGTGATGGGGGGGGGGAAAGGAAAGTTTATTGTGCACGCATAATACTTTACCACCAAGGTCGAACAGATTACTAACGGCAGCTGCGAGCAAACGAAATGGAAAAAAACAAATTGGTCATCTACATACCCGCCCCCTCACCGTTCATTCTACACCCCGCCCCTCGCCGATCTACGCCCCCCTATTGTTGTTAACATACTGGAGGGTAAAGCGGGACAAACGTGATAGATGGGTGCAGACCACCAATTCAAGGGAGAGTTTCTGGCCAGCTCATTAGCATTAAAAGTGCCCCGCAGTATCTTTTGGAAAAGGAGATTGCTTGGCCCCCAAAATGGTGAGATTGTGTAAATCCTTGCCAGGATCAACTCCCTGGGTCTTTGAGCTTTCAAATGAGAGCAGAACGGCTAAAAACCACGGTTGAAAAATGGTCCTAAGTGCTCGAGAAAGTTGAGGGTTGCCACTTGAAAAAATGGCTGCAATCAGACTTCGGAAAAATCACTTTTGAGGGGTGATTTTGCTTTGTGGGAATAATTANTTGGGCCCTGAACAGTGCTGATTTTACACTGTTTTCAGTGGGGCTTGAATTAGTGGACTGTACCCAGATGTACAGGGCTTACGTGCCGTGCATGGAGACTCTGTTGAATTCAACGTTTCAGTTTTGTGTTTAAAGAGCTGACCTGGTTGTGTACGAAAGCCCACTAGTGCCATGTAGTGTACATTTTCTCAACTTCGTTTTTACGAGATATATACTTTTGCCAGTTTGTTTATTTGAGATATATTTTTCCCAGTTAGTTTTTTCGAGACTTATTTTCCATTTTGTTTTTTCGCGATATATTTTTCCAAGTTCGTTTTTAAGAGATATTTTTTTGGAAGTTTGGTTTGTTGAATCTATTTTAAGAAACAACGTTACTATTTTTGGAAACATTCGTTTTTACGAGATATATTTTCCCAGTTTGTTTTTTCGAGATATATTTTTCTCGGTTTGTTTTTCGAGATATATTTTCCATTTTGTTTTTTCGCGACATATTTTTCCAAGTTCGTTTTTAAGAGATAATTTTTGGAAGTTTGGTTTGTTGAATCTATTTTAAGAAACAACGTTACTATTTTTGGAAACATTCGTTTTTACGAGATATATTTTCCCAGTTTGTTTTTTCGAGATATATTTTTCTCGGTTTGTTTTTCGAGATATATATTCCATTTTGTTTATTCGAGATATATTTTCCCAATTTGTTTTTTTTTTGAGAAATATTTTTCAAATTTTGTTTTTTCGAGATATATTTTTCAAATTTTGTTTTTGCGAGTTTTTTTCCCATTTGGTTTTTTCGAAATACATTCTCCCACTTTGTTTTTTCAAGATATATTGTTTTTTTCACATTGGTTCTTGGGAGGTGTATAGTCGCATATGAGAGCCATGCTTCACGAAGAACTTGTTCATTTCTATTTCAATATAGGATTAAGTTACGATGAAGTCATAGCTTCGTTGTTGTTCAATCATAATACTGTCATCAGTAAACGTCAATTACATCGGAAACTTCTAGGGCTCACGACCCGAGTATGTTTCTGCTTGTAAACTCTTCAAAAGCGTGCATCCCATGAAAGCGGCAGTGTACACTACTGAACCATGGCTCGCTTCCGTGCACGTGCGAGTGAAAAGGATCACAAATTATCCCGGATGGATTTTGGAAAAGGGTGGAAAAACAAAATAAATGAACAAACAAACAACAAGACCAATCTCACCCGGCAATCGCACTGCATGGTAAAAATAATGTCTCACGTTGTTTTCGAGAGTTAAAAACAAAAATGGAAAAAGAATTGGGAAAATATATCTCGAAAAAACAAAATGAGCAAAATATATCTCGAAAAACAACTGGGAAAAATATATATCGCAAAAACAAATTGGCAAAAAAAATCTTGTAAAAACAAATTTGAAAAAAGGTACACTACATGGCACTGGTGGGCTTTCGTAGTTGGGTGAGGTTGCTGGAGATTATTGTTCCAAACCCGCCGCACAGTTACCCTTTTGTTAGAAACTCCTCCAATCGAGGCCAGTAAATCTAGCTACATGTACCTTATGGATGCAACCTGACTTAACCTCAGAAAACCTGACTGATATTGCATTATAGTATAACCCCTCTGAACACAACCTACTCCCAGACTAAAAATCACCCGTCAAGGCTTACAGGCTGCCAACACACTGCAATTTCATTGCGCTCCTTTGCCCGATATCGCGTTTTCCAGATGGTGCCTCCTTCGTTCATTTCACAGAGACCTTACACAGCAGTAGGTACGGCGAATGGCCCTCTAACGTCCGAGATAGAATTTACTTCAATAACACGGTAACGCAGCATTTCTTGCAAGTACTCAGCAGCTTTCTACAGATCTACGCGCAGCTCATTAATGTATGGTCTAAGTCGGTCTGTAATAATGATTATTCTCTGTTCGGAAGTCAATTAACACACTACACTTCTCATGCGGTGCAAAACTGTATCTCCGATGGCTGGATCTAACCAGCTTTTTAATTTGACCCACCAGAATTAAAAGCAATACTGCGCACGTAATTTCAAAGGGAAATTATTAACTGCGCATGTCCCATTTTTTAGGATCAATTGCATACGTAATCTGGGCCATGAGAATTCGTGCCAGGCAAGCAGCTGCTTATTTTCATGAAATTTACGTCTTATTTTCACTTTTTGGATATAAAAATACCTGCCCAAAAATATTTCGTGGTATAAGATGAGGCCTTTTCCTAACGTGGTTTGTGAAAATGTAAATGAAAAACAGTAGAAAAATGGTCAAACTAGGCTACCAGTAAGCGGTAGTTTGTTTGCGTTTTGATGCGATTTTTGAAGGCGCGAAACAAAAAATTCAAAACTTTTCAAAAGTGGGCCTTGGAGGAGAAAGGTGTGGTTATAGATTTGCTGACAGTTTTGTGCTAGATTTTTGTTCTTTTCCCGACCGGACGCGTTTGCATATCGACCCAACTCAGCAGCGATTCCGTTCATCTCGCAAACTCTCACGGCCTTGCGTGCGTAAGAATTCAGTGACTCAGGAAAGACGAACACAAAAGTACAGAAAGTCAACATGAAGTTTATTATTGAAACGGAGGTCTATCTGTTATTGTAACATTGCCAGGAAAAGTATGACTTCATGGTACATATCCCCAGTTTTACATGCACTATACATAGATGAACCACATAATACATGCACATCAGCTCCGACGCATAATGTCCATGTACACGCACATGTACATCAACGTCGATACGCGTGTAACAGGCCGGAAGACGCAGTTTACCGTGCACGGTACGTGGCTGCATCGGTTTAGTGCATGTACACATGTACATGTACAGCACGTAGATTACGCTGCGCAGAAGTGTCAGAAAGAGCTCATGAAAGTCGAAAAAAAAGTCTAGCTAGATAAAACTGACTGTATTATGTAGTTGAGATTTTGGCCTGTCGTATGCAGTGTCTCATTGTTCTGAAAAAACTTCTAAAATTGAGAAATTTAGAGGGAAAAAACCAAGAGATCGATTGAAAATGTAGATATGTTATTATCTCAGCAACCACTTTGAGGCTAAATTCCATACTTAGATAGCATTTCTTTTCACGATTAGGTGGCGTTTCGTTCGGTTTAAGCCTTCTAGAGCACATACACAGAGTTTAAATGTGACTGTTTGTTCATTTTGTGCAAACGAAGTCTTCAAAACAAGAAGGCTCAACATGGTATTGGCAAATCAGTTGCTAAGGACAACTCCGTATGGTTCATAAGAATCTGGTCAAGGAACCGCCGCGCACGGTCGTAGTCGGTAATATCTACACATCGAATGGGCGTGAAACATATACGAGTGCGGTGGCACAACGCTCATGGGCAGGTGGTACGCGCTCGTGCCACTTCGACCACTAGGGTGCAGTGATTTGCCAAATGCACGCGCGCGTCAAGCCAAAGAATGTGCATGTGAGTTCGGTGCCACCCGCAGTTATGGCGTCCGATTGGAGAAGTCCATTGGTCGAAGAGGAATGGAACGCGCGGGGACCACTTGTTCTAGGGTAC